TGGGCCCATAATGGAGGGCTTGGTTTTCCTATCTAGCCTCACCAGGTTTTTGTTCTCTGGGTATTTGGTCATTATATAGAACAGCAGAGAAGGTTCCTGTTCCACATCAGAACGTTGAATGTGCTGGTAATCGGTCCAGGCCCTGCCCTTACAAGATGCCTCCTTGCCATGTCCTCAGATAATGCTATGCTGAAAATGCCACAATCTCGCATGGTGGCTACAGGCCATGGCCTCACATAATGGCTACAGAGCTTGCCCTCGCTTGATGGCTATAGGCCCAGAAAGAAGTTTTATTTAATGTTTAAAATTATTCTAGATTTTACTTTTTGCATTCTGTTAAGTAAAAACAGGGGGGCGGGTTTATCATCAGGCAATACTAGGCAGTTGCCTAGGGCGCCAAGTTCCTGGGGGCCCCATAAAACTCTGTTTACATGTATGGTTAATACAGCTATTTCTTATTTGTGGATATTAATTATTTTTTTTATAAAAATCCTTTCACTAAAATGCCATCAGAACGCTGATAATAAGTGTGTCTCAGCAAAACAAGAAGAAAAGGGACAAGAAGAGAGGGACAAAACCTAGAACAGATAATGGATGTCTATTCTATTAACATTTCTCTATCTGTAGAATGGGTCTGTTTTATCTGTTGTCTTCTCAGTTCAGAGGGCCCCCTGCCTGTCTTTGCCTAGGGCCCCAAATTTCCTAAATCCACCCCTGCTTAAAAACCTCAAACTTTTAAATGTAGATTTGGGTCCAAACGTTAATATTCTTTGGTTCACTGGTGTTTTTATTTGGGTTCCTGAGCTAAAAGAGAATGTGTTGGGCAACACGACTTACGTCGTTTTCCATTTAATATTAGAGCCCAGGTTGATTCTGAATTATTTTAATGAATAAAACCCTTTGACCCATGTTGGATTTTAGGAAATCTGTATTTTATTTCTAAAACCATAAACTGAAGACATTAAACATAAAAACCGAACATATCTGGACTTTAACAGAACTTCTGTTCTGACTTCCAGCCTCAGACCCAGATCAGCTGGGCCCATCTGGCCCCTCCTTCCAGAACCTTCTGCAGGCGCCTCCTTCTCTCTGCGGTTCTCATTCAGGCGTTTCAGCTCAGAGATCTGGTCCGATGAGCCTCCTGCTGGTACCGCACGGCCGGCCCACTTTCCCAGGAAGTTTTGGCTCAGATCTCAGCGTTGAGCAACGTTTGTGTATCTCTGAGGCTCTGCAGCTGCTCAGAGTAATTCTTCCCATCTGTGTGTTGAGTCATTAAATACACAGAGTTTATTTGGAGACGTTCTGGTTGCATCAGCTGGCGAAACGCTGCGGATGTGATGGACGCTTCAGACGACAGGTTGCTGGAGCCGCTTCTGTCGGATCAGAACCAGAACAGAATTTCAGAACCAGAGTAAACATGAATGTTCTGTTCCTCTAAGTGGGTCCAGAATGTTCCACTAAAATATTCACATCATTAAACTATTTAAACAATCTAAATAATCTAAACTGCTTTTTCTATTTTCATTGTGATGACAATCTTTCCAAGCAAACCCAGAACTGCGTGGAAAGTATTTGCCCCCTAAAACCGACTCCTGTGTGCAAGGGTTTGACTTTGGTAGGTCCTAAGTTAATGTCATTTTAGCCATGCAAAAATATGCATGCTTTTTTATGCTTGACGTGAGCATCAGGGTGCATTTCGTTTAAAGAGAAAAGCAGCATTTCTTGCTACATTTATACTAATTTTATAAGTGCTACACACACTAGATGCTGTTTATCAATGATTGAATCATCACCGGCTCTGATTAATGTGGAATTAGGACTTTTTTCCACTTTAAAAAGGTTTGCATTTAAACTTACCAGTGACTAAGACAGTAGGTAAATATGTGCCAACTTAACCAAATATAGTCTAAATATGCCAGTTATATGTGAATTTATCCTGTATTTTCTTTGGAAGATATATAAATGTGCAAAGGTAAACAGGTAAAACTCTCTTATTTTTTTTAATTCTCTCTTTGTATCAGGAAACAACACAAAATAACATTCAAGTAACGGCAAATACATTTATTGTATTTTCATTTAGTGGCATCATCTACAAAAACACAACACTAAGAAAGAGACAAAATTTATTCCAATATAAAATCACTTTTAACAATTATTGAAAAAAAATATATAACACCATCTTGTCTGTAATGTAATGATATCCAAAATGAGCAGCTGGATTCAAGCATTTTTACCAAACACTAATGTTTGTAAAAATAAACTTATGGACTGTGTGGAAATCTATGTAAAGTAAAATCAATATAAATAGTGTTCGCTGTTTGTTATTGGCTTTATCCTATTTTTAAAAGTAGAAAAAGTCAAAGAAATAGCAACACTATGTGGAACCGTAATTATGCTTTCTAAATAAAAAATATCAGATGTTAAGGCGCCATCTCGTGTTGTTATACTCTATAAAAGAAATAACACCTGCTATTTATAGCTGAACTGCCTCAAAGGGTCGTCATAAAATGAAAACAGTAATTGCAATGAATTATTGTTAAAGGGGAAACCCTCACATTTTCTTTATCAGCCGGTGTGACTAAGAATAAGCAATCAGCAGCTTTCGCCTGTTTAAGTGTAGATAGAATTACGTTTTTTTTTCATTAGGAATAGTTTCGTAGCCTAATAGTATTTGAAGTAAGTAGCATGAATGAAATTCTTATTTCGTGCTCCAAGCATGCACACGTGCATACGGACAAGAAAACAGCCAATCAGGAAGAGAGAAGGCGGAACTTGAGGCAGAACAACCAATGAGAGTGGAGCTAAACAGCACAGTTATTGATTTAATGGAAAGGACTCATATGGACACGCTGAACTGTAAATTATAAACATGTTATTCAAATGGAATTATTGGTAGGGACAAATAGGTTGGTCCAAAACTTTGGTCGGGACATGTCCCTATGGTCCCTATGCAAACCTACGCCCATGCCTGTGTGGAAAGCATTCACCCCCTAAACCTAAAAGTTTTCCTGGAGTCTCTGACATCAATGTGGAGGGGTTCTGACCCAGTCTGCTTGACTGAACTGTTCTGTCCAGACTTTGACTAGGCCCCTCTAAAATCTTTGTTGTTCTTGTTTTTTTTTCAAGCCATTCTCAGACAAATTTACTTGGCTTTAAACAGAATTCATGGTTCCACTGGTTACAAAAAGTCTTCCAGATAGAAAGCAGCTCTAAACCATCACACCACCACCACCGTGTTTTACTGTAGGTATGAGGCTCTGGTTCTGTGTTAGGGCTGCACATCTACCTAAAAGGTCTCTTCAGTTCACAGCCTCGGGATCTTTTTATTAAATAAGAGCCTTTTAGAACCTCAGTTAAAGAGTGAGATGTTATTTTGGACCAGCGGTGGTTCTGGCCTGGGAACTCTCCCACATTTGCCCAATCACTGTCTTTCCTTTAGCCAAATTATGAGCTCCGACCTTGACTTGTGGTTTATGAGTAATTAAAGGCGACTTGTAGAAGAGGCCCCCGTTAAATCACGATGAAACAGTGAGGCTCCATTATGTTTCTGCACCGGGCCCAGTCCGTTTGGATTGATTTTATTCCTTTATCCAATAAAATCAACACTGTTTTACCATTTTTTCAGACTATGTTGGTTATCTGGTTATCGTTGATCAAAACATTTCAGAGTTTACAGCCAAGTAGAAACAGACGAATCTTGCAATTTCATGTGTATTAAACTGTGTTGTTGTTAAATTCAAACATTTTCAGCCATTTCTGGGCTCTAACTTTCCAGAGCAGAACCTAAAGCTGCTGAAGGTTTGCGGTTTCAGTCCCAGCTGGATAAACGTGTTGAGAAATTTCATGCAATTATCTGAATTCATGGCAGTTTTCAGAACTTTCAGTTGTTCCTGGTGATTTTTGTGCCATTCTGCAGATAACGACCAATCGGATTTGATTTTCCAGTCTGTAGCAACTCAAAGTGCTCTCAGATTTGGAACCGTTTGTTTCTCAGACCGAGCTGCTTTTATCACACTGAGCATCTCTGGATGGCGTCTCCAGACGGAGCATGTTGCATTCTTCCTGCCTTCAGACCTTTTCCTGCATGCATGAACAAGAAGGGAAAGTTTTTTGGGGGTTTCAGGGGTTGCTCTGCAGAGCTGAGTGGAAGTGGCGCTGCAGAGTCTTGAATGTTTGAACTAATGTTCTCCTGTTTGTCTCCGTTTCAGGACTGGGTGACGGCCACAGATATCAAAGTGACCCTGAACAGACTCAACACGTTCGGAGACGAGGTTTTCAATGATCCCAAGGTCCTGAAGTCCTACTACTACGCCATCTCTGACTTCGCTGTGGGAGGAAGGTAAACACTTGCACACAGAGTCAAAGATTGGTCTGCTTCCCGGGTCTGCAGCTGGCTGAGGCTCACCGTGCCTTTGCAGACAAAAAGAGGATCTGAGTGAATGGAGAAGTGGGGTCAGGTGGATTTATGGGTCCTCCTCTGCCCCTGTGTGGTCCCCTTCCCTGACGCCTGCCGGACAATTTACATAAGAACTCCTTTTCCCGCACGGCTGGGGGGAAAGAGGTTTGGACAGCCGTTAAAGAGTGTTAACCAGAGTGCCTCTGCAGCCATAATCTGTTTGAAATGTAGAGCAGATTTCCATTACACATCCAGCATTCCTGACATTCCTGGCCGGCAGGGCTGGATTACAGGGAAACCGGAACGGGGCGGAACTATCGCAGCGATGGATGGAAGAAAAGGCGAGAGGCCCGTAGAGAGCACTTCAAGGCGGGGTTTCTGAGTGGACTTTACCTCCTGACCTCCTCCCTGCTTTACCTGGGTTTGCTCGTCTTTGTGGAGCTGGTTAAATTATAACCAGGGGTCAGAAACTGAGATTAATCCTCATTTTAACCTCGTGATGCTGATCTTCTGGTTAAAACCCAATAAAACAAAAAACTGAAGTCAAGTAAAGAACTAAAAGCTGCTTAATGAAACTTCATGCAACCGTTTTTGGCATTTAATTAGTTACTTTAACACAATTGGTTCATGTTTGCAGGGTAGGACCATAGCACTATTTTGTTAAAGTAACTAAATATGATAAAGTAAATGCATAAACGGTTGCATTATTGTTTTAGTGAAGGCCTTTTGCATGTATTTAAAGATTTAATGAAGAAATAACCAATATTGCTTTAAACCATTTTCATATCTTACTTGTGCAAATTAGAGTTAAGACATGATTGAAACAATGTTAAATGGATTAAGCTCACCGATAAAGAGTGCCCAATTAAATGCTAAAGTTTACCTGCTAGCTTTTAGTCAAGTTAGCAGCCTAAAAACATGAGGTTTGATGCCACCCAAAGTAACTTAAAGCGTTTATTTGATAAATTGTCTATATACCAAACTGAACCATTGTTGTTTTCTACTTCAAAAACAATTTAGATTTTAAAATTGAAAAATTTTCTTTTTTATATATTTTTTTACTTTAAAATTCAATGTCTAGCATGGATGCATAAAAACATCATTTTATTTCAGTGTTAAATTCTGTTTAAAGTGACAGTATATATTAAAAATGTCTCTGGATCTTTACTTATCGATGATTTTCTTTATTTGGACCCCAATGATTTTTAATTGGTTCCCCCTGATCAAGTGGATGAAAAAGTAGTTGACTTGAAATTTCCCACAATGCACCGTGAACAGAAGTCATCATCCATGGTCACCAGATGAGCAGATAGATCCCAAATCATGGGATTTGTTGTCACAGCGGCTCGTTGTTGCCTACGGCTGTTTCTACCCAACAGCGGTTACAAATAAAGATGGTGCAGGCACCATGCGAGGAGGCGGAGTTACCTGACCTACAGTGAGTGAAAATTAGTGATCATCTGTCCGAACGGTCAGTTAACTGAGCTCACTGTAAAATCCACTATATAGTCCCCTCTCTTTATAGTGATTAAGGGATTTAGGGGTTAGAGCGAACCATAAATGTTGACAACCATAATGTAAATATAGGTGATTCATTTGATGAGAAGCAGCTGATATCTCAGCAGGTTTAGATTAAAAACACTGCTCTACTAATATGATGAACTGATGGAGTTTATTTAGGTTTCTATTGATGAAACATTTAAATAATCACACTGATATGAATGCGACCTCATGTCTCATTTCAGCTAGCTGACTGGCAGTGTGCAGCAACATGTGTATATGTTAAGAACGACATGATTAGGAGCCTAAGGATGGACGCTCTGACAGATGGATGTTTCCTCCTTCCTAATTGGCGGATCGGACTGAAAAGGAAACAACAAATACAGATTTTTGTCCATATTTAGTTCTTGATTCATTTCTATTCAGTTTATTTATATAGTGACAATTTACAACACGTCATCTCAGTCTTCAGTGTCTCATCTAACCCCCTAATAACTAAAACACAAATAAGCAGACGCTAACATTTTTTCCTAATAATAGCCTTCATGTCTTGTGCTGCAGCGTTTTATCAGACTCAGGATCGGGCTGAGCGCGGGTCTTAAAAGCTTCCTTCTGTCAGAGTTTCCACGGCTCCGTGCCAATAAACACCTGAGACAATAGACAAAGATGGCTGCAGGACAAGTGCCGTCCTGTTAGGAGGGAGTTCTCTACCTGAGGAGGTTAAAGTAAACCTTCAATCATAGGTCCTGTACGGAACAAGAACAGCGTCAACATTACAGTCCTGCCTGGGAGCCTCCAGCTCCGAGGCGCTGACAGATTTTACACAAACAGACACACACGTACGCCGCCTGGATGGAAAGGACACGTCTCATGATGAAATGCCCATTCTGTGTCAGACAAGGCGCTGATTGGTGTAACAGGTGTGTGTATCTCCCATCAGGTGTAAGTGTAACGGCCACGCCAGCGAGTGTGTGAGGCGCAGCGGCGGGCGGCTGGTCTGCGACTGCAAACACAACACCGAAGGCGTGGACTGCGACGTCTGCAAACCGTTCTACAACGACCGGCCGTGGAGGAGGGCGACCGCCGACAACCCCAACGAGTGTCAACGTGAGTCACAGACGGCTGGACGGGTGTAGAGGAGCTTCTACAGTGACTGTTTTAATGGAAAATAAAGTGAAATACTCAAAGCAGCAGAACATCTGGTGTTCTCAGCCCGGGTCTCTGGGGAACTGTGGGAGTTGTAGTTTAATAATCTAAAGTAGATGCATGACTAAGCTGCGCTAACGAGCTGGAAACTATTATGATGACAGATTCAAGGAAACAGTGAACCATTTCTTCTGTTTCCATTTTCCATTGTTTTCAAGCTTTTAGTTCATTTAGTTATTTTCAAAATCAGAAAATCTGAAAGGTTTGAAAATGGAAAAATGTTTGCAGAAAGCAGCTGAGAAACTAGGAGAAAGGATTGAAACAACAGACCAAGACCTTCACTCACACCACAAAGGTTTACTGATACAGTAGCAGCCATTCAAAATGGCCGTTCCCAGTCAAACGCCAGGTTAATGGCCGCCCACTCCAACTCTCAGTTTGGAGACTTTGCAGACTGTCACTCTACCCAGAGACATACAAGCTCTGTCTGATTGGTACATGTTGTCATTTCTGCACCAGCATTGGGACTCTGAAACCTCCCAGTCCTCCCATTTCACTGACCAACAGTGAAATGGGAGGCTGCTGTGGTTTTACTGAAGTCTGTCCACGTTTTAGTCCTGATGGTTCCATACATCATCATGTAAACGAGTTTGTGATTTAGCCTTCAAGGCAATCCCTGGACAGCGGATGTTTGTGCTGACAGAGGACACATCAGAGATATACGCCACAGAGAAAAACACTTTGTGGTCTGGCTGTTGACTCCCTTCTTGAGCTATCTGTGCTAGCCATGACATGAACAGAGGAATCCATCCTCCTCATCAGTGGCGCCTCCAGGGGGGGCCAGGGATGGCCACAGCCCATCCAACTCGCCAGTGTAAATTGTGTTAGCATCAGTTTAGCATTTCATCCCATTATGCACAGCCAGTGATGTAACATTAAAAATCACACAATACATCAAGATCTGCGTTGGTGTATGATTTCTACAGGCAGGTTTACCACAAGAGTAGATTAAACCCTGAAATGATGGCTTTAACTTCAGTTTGACAGCCCAAGATGTTTAGTGGCCCCATCTGTCCCCAAGTATTCACATAGAGGAACAGGGGGAAGGCAGATCTTGGTCTAAAAGTTTTAGGTTTTCTGTCTCTGGGATTTTTTTAAGCAGAGGGTAGTGGCTGAAGAGGATCTGCTAAGGTGTTGCTGTTTTTCTGTTCCAGCCTGTAATTGTAACGGGAAGAGCTCAGACTGTTACTTCGACGCAGAGCTGTACCGGGCCACGGGTCACGGAGGTCACTGCAGGAACTGTGCCGACAACACGGACGGGCCCAACTGTGAGCGCTGCCTGGACAACTACTACAGAGAGCAGAGCAACGGCCGCTGTCAGCCCTGCTACTGCAACTCCATCGGTGAGTCCCGGCCGCACCCTCTGACCCTAACGACCTGATCATGAGTCAGAAATCAACCTGTTGATTCTGGAGAGCGAAGAGTTTAGTTAAAAAAATTATTTCCCATGATGCCGCTGGTACAACACAGGTCTACTGTAGGGTTTCATTTCTGGAAGAAGACAAACAGCCTGAGAGGTTCCTGCAACATCTGACTGAAAATACCAGCTGTCTTTATGTGCTTCATGTTTCAGGAAGTTTCTGGGTATTTGCTGCCCCCTTGTGGTCATTTCTTGTGTTTGGAGTATTTTGCTTTTCTTTGCTTCTTTATCCCTCTGCTGTCATGCTTCACTTTCTTTATATCTCTCTTGTTGTCCTAACTCAACTTTTTTTCACGGTTTGTGTCTTTATCTTGTTTTTCTTTTTTTGTAATGTTCTGTTCCTTTCTGGTAAATTTGAATGTTTTTTTTTGGTAGACATTTTGTAACTTCCAATGTTTTTGGTAGGGGTGCAGTTTTCTGGCCGATTTCCGATCACCGATCTTTAAAAAGTCTGACCTGCCGATTCCAATTTCTGGTTAATACCGATTTTATTATTTTTTTGCTATAACCAACACTGTGTTACAAGATCGCAAATCACTTTCAATGTTACAATCTTGAGGTAGAGCCTTGACATAGAAATGAATTAAATAATAAATATTAATTAAATTAAACAAACTTAAGACTACAACATTGGTCTTTTGATTTTTTACATTTCAAATAACAAAACTTCAACAAAATATCAGAAAAAATATGGAATAGCAACTGATTTTAAGACACTCGCGGAGGTAAATAGATTGGTGGTTAAGATCGGTTTCGTATGTAAATATCGGCCGATCACCAATCACCCTAAATTAAGGAAATCGGGGCCGATCGTTCGGCCGGCCGATTTATTGGTGCACCCCTAGTTTTTGGCTATACTTTTCTGTCTTTAACATGTCAGTTTATGGTTAACCTACTGTGACCTTATGAAACTGTGGTCATAGGTGAGTTTGCCACAGTAGGAACATGCATAAGGTTTTTCCACCCTGTTCCAACAGCTGTCCCAGCTTCTTTAACTCCGGCTGATTGTCTCTAGGAGGTCAAAGGTCAGCGAGCTTGTGGCTGATGCTGTTTGTGTGTTTGCAGGTTCTGAATCGCTTCAGTGCAACAACAGAGGGGTGTGCGCCTGTAAACCTGGAGTGACCGGAGAGAAGTGTGACCGCTGCCAGCCGGGCTTCCACAGCCTGACCGAGGCAGGCTGCAGGTACGACCCAACACCCAATCAGGTTCTGTACATGATCTAATCTGAGCTGCTTTGCAGTCTACAGAGGGAAAACAGTAACCCACTGACTGATCTAAGCACGCCCTCTGCTGGCCACATGTTTTCTGTATGAGTTTCAGTTTAATCTATTTAGACCTCTTTCCACCCGCTGCAGATGAAGGTTTCCTCTCAGTTCCCGTTTACATGAGAACCTTTTCTGGTTCCAGATTGTAACTGATAAGAAATATCCTGGCCTACATTGTCGTGGAAACCGGAAAATTCTGTTGTTCTTAGAGTGCATACACACCGAACACTGAGATGAATGCAGGTGTAACAAAGAGTTAGGGGGAACAAAAGGTGGCTATGATCCGTCCTACTGGACGGGCCAAGGCCATCTTCACGTCCAGTTGCCTAAACTGAAACCTTTAAGCTTGATCATGACCTGGATGATGAGAATATTCACAGATATGTTTCCTCTGGGCTGCTCCATGGAACCGCACATCACATACGCATTCCAGTCCCTGATTGGTTGACATGATTTGACTTTTTGCTTTGTTTGATGTTTTTAAGGAACTAGTGGGTTTTGTACAGTGAGCTGACAGGAAACAGGGTATGAGAGAAGGGCAGAGACATGCGGCAAAGGATCAGGGGTCGGATTCGAACCAGGGTCAGCTGCGTCGAGGACTGAGGCCTCCAGTACATGTGTCATGCTTGCCCCAACACAACTTTATTTTACAGAGATTTTCGACCAAATTTTTGTGTCCATCCCTACTCTCACCGTCATGGTGCCCACTGTGTGTTCTTTTGTGCCCAACATATTGATTTCCACTTGATTTATGCATATAAATATCTTTATTATAATTAATGCATGGAGTATTACAGATTTTATGGACGCAAAATAAGTAGAACAGGAAAGGAAAAACAGAAAAAAAATGAAAAAGATGAAAGAAAGAGGAGATAAAAATGGAGATAATGATAAAACATCTTCAGCCTGCTTCATCACCTGCAAAGAGATGTAAGAAGAACATGTAGGGTTGTAGTGTTTACATCAGAATCTCTTGCTCCTGCATTTGGTGTGAATGTACCTTTAAAGGGACGTGCGGTTTGAGTTTTGACCTTTTAAAACACAGAGGAAGAAAATAAAAACATTTTTAATGTAGGATTGCAAACATCTTGCCTATGGTTTAATTCTAACGACAATGCAACAACAATGTTCTCATTTTTTTGCCTGTTTTCAAAGCAGGAAGTGTTGACTTCCAAAACATACTGCCAACTAGTGCTGTGGTGGGAGAATTACACCACACTGTCACAAACTTAAAACAAACAAAGAGAAAAAGACATTTAGAATAAATCTTGGTTGTGTACTCATGGCCTTGGTTTTGCCTGAATATAAAACACTGAATCAGAGATGTGCTCTGTGGGTAAATGTTGCCCTCTGTTTGTCTGCCAGGCCTTGTTCCTGCTCTCCGTCCGGCAGCACTCAGGAGTGCGATGTCAACACGGGTCAGTGCCGCTGTAAGGACAATGTGGAGGGCTTCAGCTGCGACAGGTAACACCCTCACTGAGGATATACTATCCTTTCTCATTAAAAGACCTCCACATCAACCTGTTTGTCCCTTTCAGATGTAAACCAGGTTACTTCAACCTGGACCCCAACAACCCTCAGGGCTGCACGGCCTGTTTCTGCTTCCAGCACTCCTCAGTTTGTGACAGCGCCTCAGACTATAGCGTTCATACCATCAGCTCCACCTTCCAAAGAGGTGGGCACCACCTGCAGCCCTGAGCCAGGGCACATTTAACCCTCTGGAGCTAGTGTGTATCCTGACTTCCTGTTCCTGTTTCCAGGTGATGAGGAATGGAGCGGTCAGCAGCGGGATGGGTCTACCATCTCTGTCCAGTGGTCTGCCGGTGGACAGGAAGTGTCCCTGATGGCTGAAGACTATCAGCCGCTGTACTTCGTGGCCCCGGGTACCAAACCCAAAATGGTTCTACTGGATCTCCTCTGGTTAAACTCTTCTCCTTAGAGACTGATTGGTTCCTTTTCTGCTCCACAGACAAGTTCTTGGGGAATCAGATGTTGAGTTATGGTCAGAACCTTAGTATGAATTTCCGAGTGGAGCGGCGGGATGCTCGCCTGTCTGCTGAGGACCTGATCCTGGAAGGGGCTAACATGAGGGTTGCCGTCCCCCTCATCAACCAGGGCAACGCCTACCCCAACGAGAACATGCAGAACTATGTGTTCAGGTAAGAAGGTGGAAGCTGTTACTGGGATTCTATGCATACCGTTCGCTTCATTGTTTAGAGAAGATCTGAATGGGTTTTGGTTCTGCTTCAGGCTTCATATGCAACCCGGTCAACCCTGGAGACCTGTGGTCAGTGACTCGGATTTCCAGAAGCTTCTCCACAACCTGACGGCCATCAAGATCAGGGGCACCTACAGCGAGAGGAGTATGCAGCTCTGACACAATATGTCCGTCATCTTCATATATGCAGATGCATTCCGCCATGATCTGACTTTCCTCTGGTTCTGCAGGTGCCGGTTACCTGGACAACGTCTCCCTGGTGACAGCAAGGAGGGGGCCGGGAACGCCGGCTCGCTGGGTGGAGGAGTGCAGATGTCCTCCAGGTTACCAGGGACAGCACTGTGAGCAGTGCACCGTGGGATACCGCCGTTCCCAGCCGGAGCTTGGACCCTTCAGCTCCTGTGAGATCTGCAACTGCCACGGACACAGCGACAGCTGCCACCCTGAAACTGGTAACAATGGGAGCACTGGGATCACTGAGATTACCTGGATTTAAAGACTCTAGCTATGCCTATCACCTTGATATTAGTATCGCTGTAAACACAAGGATTACTAGGAACGCTGGGATTACTGGATTTAGACGCTGTAGTGATTTATCCATTATGATACTGGTAGCAATGGGAGCTTTGGGAATACTGGGATTAATTGGCTTAGTGATTCTAGCAATGCCTGGTAACCTGATACTGGAAACACTCATGGAAGGATTACAGGATTAAGAGACCCTAGCAATGCCTGCCTGGCATTAGAGTCCTCCAGATTTCTGGGCCTCTAGTTTTGGGATTTCTTATATTTGACTGTCTGGTTGCTGGACTGTCTTTGCAGGTTAGAACTGGTTTGGATCCTTTTCTCTCCTTGCAAACTAATTTGTTTTAACAGATCTTCCTGACCAAGGCTGGGTGTTGTTAACACTGGTTTCTGGCAGATTTCTGTCCAGTTCCTTTGGTGTAATGGGGCTTATTGTTTTGTTTTTTGTCCATTAGCATGCCAGTTGTGCTGTAACATCAGGTTAAATGTATTGTCAGCAGGTAAAAACAGTCCTTTTTTCTCCGTCTCTTGTCCAGGTGCGTGTGACTGTCAGGACAACACAGCTGGACTGAGCTGTGAGCGCTGTAAGGACGGCTTTTATGGCAACGCCACTCGGGGCACATTGGGTGACTGTCAGCCATGTCCCTGCCCTGCCGGAGCCACCTGCGCTGTTGTAATTAAAACCAATGAGGTGGTTTGCACCAACTGTCCTTCAGGAACCACAGGTACCATCAGATTACTGCAGACCGAGCAGATTTTTGCTAAAGCAAAGTTCTCCTCTAACATCTCCTTTAAAACTTTGTGAAGTAAAGTAGGCATTAAAACGTGATTTCAACATTTGAGAACTTACATGTGTGCAGGGAAGCGCTGTGAGCTCTGCGATGATGGGTTCTTCGGGGACCCGCTGGGTCAGAACGGGCCGGTCCGAGCCTGCCGGGCCTGCCAGTGCAATGGTAACACTGACCCCAACGCTGTTGGCAACTGCAACCGTGAGAACGGAGAATGTCTGAAGTGCATCTACAACACGGACGGCTTCTTCTGTGACCGCTGCAAAGATGGTTACTATGGCAACGCCCTGGCCCCCAGCCCTGCTGATAAGTGCAAACGTAAGCATGTGGTCACATGAGCCCCATCTACACTATCCTCTGCAATAGGGGTGTAAATCACACCCATCGTGGCGATTCGATTCAGGATCGATTTCCTGACCCAAAGATTCGATACTCATAAAATACACCACGATACGATTCTATTCTATTGTATTAATTGGTTCTTTTTTTTTTTTTTACACCTTACAGGCTAGACAATGGTTCAAATTTGACATAAATCAATGAAAGCTGTAATATCGTTATGCATTTTATTTGAGAAACAACAGCAAATAATAGAAGTAGAAAAGTTGTACTCCACCTAGGCCTATTAAAACATTATTCACTGAAAAATAATAATACCCCTGCGTTATAGATTCTGAAAGGCCTTGCATCAAAAATTCCATAAAAATTCAAAAAATATCCACTGGACTTGGTTTTCAAGATTTGAAGACGTTTCGCCACCTCTCCAGGAAGCTTTCTCAATTCAAATGTGAGAAAGCTTCCTGGAGAGGTGGCGAAAAGTCTTCAAATCTTGAAAACCAAGTCCAGTGGATATTTTTTGAATTTTTACGGAATGACTTTGACCTGGATGACTGAGAACCTTCATCAGCATCTTGCATCAAAAAATACTGCACAAAACCAGTGCAATGAGTGCAATTCAATACCTCGGCTCCAGAGTGTCGAGCAGGTATCGGAAGCCTTCATTCTCCACAACACAATAGGGATGTATGGCTGTACATATGAAAAACACCTCTCTCCCCCTCCGCAGACACTCCGAAGAACCTCTCCCAAATTGTAACTGAGTGCAAACAGTGCCACAGACAGGAGGCCGGCTTGTTTTGATTTTATGACCGCAATTGCGGAAACAACTCGTGAGAAGAGCGAGGTGTGCGAGAATGCTTGGAGTCTTTTTCCACCTGGATCCCCGCTATCTTTCGCCGTCATGTCCCTCCGTTGTCGGACAAACTCGCCCCCACTTCCTTACTGCGTCGGCCTTATCTACACCCAAGGGGTATAACGCAGACCACGCTTCAATATTGGGCATAAATCAAAAATGTCTGTGTCAAGCTTACTGCGACACACTGCTGCAGGAGTATAACCAGGAAGCGAGGTAGGAGGGCACAATAGGGTTAGCGCCACCGCAGCACGGGAGGGAGAATAACGTCCAGGAGCAAATGGATAAAAATAGACCGGAGGAAAAAAAAAAACGAGTTGCTACTCTTGCAGATGTGTCAATGCATCAGATCATCAGGTGTTGGATCGATGGATCGATACAAAACGATTATTATTTACACCCCTACTCTGCAAACCGATTTGTGCCGAGTCCGGACCGAGCTTGGATCAGTTTACCATGCCGTGCTTGGTTCCTTACGACCATTTGCACACCACGCTAGCACGGTTCCTCGCCTCCTAGTGACGATCTACGGTACTACTGCTCTCTATGGTTGAAGGAGGGAATCAAGCAAATCAACATGGCGGCGCCCGTAACATTAAGGTTTGGTTATAATTATGATATTTCATTGTTTGCAGAGAGTTTGTGTAGAAGGCAGCCTTTGGTGAATTTACTTGACAGAGTCGGTTTTTAGGAAGTGGATACGACAAACGATAGTCTAATCAGGGCTTACAGACACAGGAAGTAATGACAGACGTTTAGGTTAATAACAATGCTAAGCAGAATCATCACAGGAAATTGTGTGGCATGGTAGGAGAGCAAGGATTTTTAAGAATGTCTGAATTTTTTTCTTCCTATGTTGTATGGCGGTTGTATAAAACTTACTGATGTGCATTACCGCCAACTACTGTATATATGCGAGATGAGGCGGTCTGCTATGGACTTGTTATCTGAGAACCGAGCCAGAACTGAACCCTGCCGAGCCCTTCTGATGAACTAGCACCAGTTTAGCCCCGTACGGTTGTGTCTGGCACTGTCCGGTTCAGTTATGCGTGCCATTTACACTCAACAGTTATCTCGGTTGTTGGCTCGGACCGATCTCGGCACGGTTTGAAAAAGGTAGTGTAAAATGGGCTAAAATGAGTCAATGGAAATGCATTAGACATTTTAGGCAGAATTCAGGCACTAACTGTTTTTTTACCTTTTGGCTTCAATTGTAGTTTAATCAGAAGAAAGAACAAATATAATATATCCATGGGCTCATTTCTAGCTCAGTTTTATTCCGGACATGAAAAGTTTAGGGCTTGTGTGGGATTTGACACTTTTTAGCTTTTTCATGGGAAACAGGGATCAGAGGGCAGAGAAGGTTTTAGAGAATAAATATCAGTACTTAAAGCTGCCTTCATGTCCAGTTTGGACAATCAGGCAGTTTGTTTATTTTCATCCTATTATTCTGCACATCCTTCCTCAGCCTGCTCCTGCTCCCCCCTGGGGACGGTGGACCAGCAGACCAGCTGTTCGCAGGTCACCGGTCAGTGTCCGTGTCTGCCAAACGTGGCTCAGCGGGACTGCAGCGCCTGCCTCCCAGGCTTCTTCAACCTTCAGAGCGGCAGTGGCTGTGAGCGGTCAGTTCCCTTCTGCACCTTCCTTTCTGACACTTTTACAAAGTGTTTGCTCATCATGTGCTGTTCAGACATTAGAATTTATTATTTGGTTCAAACAATTCACCTGAGAGTTAAAAACCTCCCCCTGGTTCCTCTGTATGTGTCCACAGGTGTAACTGTAACCCCATTGGCTCCTCTAGTGGTGAATGTGACATCATTACAGGACAGTGTGAGTGCCAACCCGGCATCACCGGCATGCACTGCGATCGATGTGAGGTCAACTTTTTTGGCTTCAGCTCTTCAGGATGCAAACGTAAGAACAAAAGTAGTTTTATTTACTTTATTAGATCATATTATGCAAACCAAAAAAGTTAAAAAAATAAATAAAAAATTACTGGACTTTATGTCCAAAGATTAAAGACATTTCACTTCCCATCTAGGAAGCTTTTTCTATTCAACTTGTTTATGGATGACTGAGAATCTTCACCAGCACATTATGCAAAGTTTGCAAATAGTTTGAGAAGAATAAAAGTTACAGTTTGTTATAATCTGCATAGAGACGACACAAAATACTTAAGATATTCAATTCAAAGAAGGGAGATCCGAGCACTGATTCAACATTGATCATGTTTTACACACAAAAACCATCTACAGAAAGTAAACATTTGTATTTACCCTTAATTTACCCTTAATTTCAGTGGATAATAAGATGATTTGCCAATGGAATGAGGTTTTTTTATTCTTAAAATAAGATAACTAGATAATGTGCATTTCAAATAAGAAAATGCATTTGTTTTTCTTTTTAAATGTAATCTTACCTCCTCAAACCAAGAAAAAAGGACTTAGTTAGATTTAAAGTTTTTTTCAGTGTATTACCCAACTTCCAGACCTACAGGTAATTAACTATATGAGGCTTGAATAAACTCACTCCTGGTTGCTTCCTCCCCAGCTTGTGACTGCGACCTTGAAGGGTCTCTGTCCGGTCAGTGTAAGGAGGACGGGCGGTGCGAGTGTCGGCCCGGCTTTGTTGGAGCTCGATGCGACATGTGTGAGGAGAATTATTTCTACAACCGATCAGTGCCTGGCTGCCAGCAGTGTCCGTCTTGCTACAGTTTGGTCAGAGACAAGGTGAGGAGGAGCCACCTTTAAGAGCTTACCTACCTCATAAAGGTCAACTGACCCAAAGAGCTGATTGTGTGTCCAGGTGAACCAGCAGAGGCAGAAGCTCCAAGAGCTCCAGAATCTGATAGACAATCTTGGCTCCGGCCAGGATACCGTCAGCGATAAGGCCTTTGAGGATCGACTAAAAGAGGCAGAAAAGACCATTATGGAGCTACTGGAGGAGGCTCAGAGCAGCAAAGGTAGATCTGGTATTATCAGAATAATGGTTGGGTAAGCATGAACTTGATAATACAGCCTGACTTGGCCCCACAGATGCAGACCAAGGTCTTCTAGATCGTCTGAACGCCCTGAACAACACCCTAACCACCCAGTTGAACCGTCTGCTGAACATCCGTAACACGGTGGACAATACCAGCACTCAGGCAGACCGCGCTCGGGACAGGGTCCGAGATGCCGAGAGTCTGATTAACCGAGCTCGGCAGGAATTGGCCAAGGCCAAGGATGCTGTCAGTAAAGTGGTAAGCGAAGGCGGCGTTCTCCTAATTCTCAGCAGAACCATCAAGCCCATGTAACCGAGCCGATGTTGTTCACAGGACATCAAACCTACTGGTGAGACCGGAGAACCTAACAACATGACGCTGCTGGCTGAGGAGGCTCGACGCCTTGCTGAAAAGTAAGACTCTATCAGCGGCCCAAACCTGAAAGAATCTTCAGAATCTTTCCTTTAAACAAGAAGAATGAAAATATGACCAAAACTGTTTCCTACAGGCACAAGATGGACGCTGATCAGATTGAGAAGATTGCCAAAGATGCCAATGACACGTCGACCAAAGCATATAACCTGCTGCTTAAGAGCATAGATGGAGAGAGCAAGATGGGTGAAGAAATCGACAAGCTCAACAAGATGTAGGTCACTCATTAATAGTTGGATGGACCAGAAGTTTCCAGGAAGAATATAATAGAATATATTCTGCTGGAGCCGCTCCACAAAGTTCCTTCTCCACTGTCTGTTGCAGTGTTGTACCTTTGTGGTTGTTTGATTGTAGTAGTAATGAATCTATACTCGGTTATTTCATTTTTTTCCACACAGACAATTTTGTCTTTAAGTCTGTTTTGTTTGTTGTAGCTTTTGTCTCTTAATGACAGTTTTGTTTTTTTGATGTTTGTGGTAGTTTTTCAGTCTCTTTGTAGTTTGCGGTCCTTGTGGATAAAGCCAGTGTCATGGAGACAAGCATGAGATGAGATGATTTCCTGACTCTGTCTTCTTCCTCAGGTACAATGACGCCAAGAATCAGGCCAAGGATCTGGAGAAGCAGGCCAAAAAGGTGCAGGATGAGGCAGAGGAGGCAGGGAACAAAGCTCTGAAGCTGTTTGGCAACCTGACCAGCCTTCCACCATTTGACACCAAGACCTTGGAGGTATGTACATAATGATGCGGGGGAAAAAAAGACCCTGTAGACATCCTCTTTACTAATGATGCACTTGTTGTCAGGATGATGCCAAAAAGATTAAGAAGGAGGCGTCTGATCTGGACACTCTGATCGACAAGACAGAACGGGAGTATAATGAATTGCGAGACGACCTTAAGCCCAAAGAGCTGGAGGTCCGAAAGCTACTGGAGAAAGGAAAGAGCGAGCAGCAGGTGGGTCCAGACCATGACTGTTTTACCTCACGTCTCCTCATCGGGTGTCATTAAACCTCCCCCTGTTCCACAGACCGCAGATCAGCTATTGGCCCGAGCCGATGCAGCCAAAGCTTTAGCTGAGGAGGCAGCAAAGAGGGGCCAGGCAACTTTCAAAGAAGCAGAGAACATCCTGGAGGACCTCCGAGGTACCCGAACAATCTGGACCCATTGGTAGCACCAAGAATCAACCCTAACCTTGTCTTTACCCTTAAATTATTCGGTGACAGTAGAGTGGAACCATTAGGGGTAACACCACTGTAGTGGTCTGAATGCTGGAAGGTTGCTTTAATGGAACCTTTATCTGCTGTGAAATCTCACTTTTGTAATGAAGGAACTGCTACTTTACTTAACGTCTTCAGGATTCTGAAGATTTTTATGCCCAATCTCAGTTGTGAAAATGGTTAAAATGGTTTAAACTCACAAACATGGTGAAAACATGTTCTGCTGAACTCTTCTATCCTTGAATGTCTGATGCACAAATACCTTAACACCCTAGAAAGGTTTCTTTTGTGTCTTAAGGCAGGCTTGAGAAGATTTTGACGTAATGACTCAAGAAAGGAAACGTGGATAGAATTTAGTTTTGTACCTTCATGGATGTTTAATGTGACCTTTTTTTAGTCTGACTCTGTTTATTTAAAAACTTCTCCAGACTTTGACAGAAGGGTCAATGACAACAAGACGGCTGCAGAAGAAGCCATGAAAAAGATCCCCTTTATCAATGCCACCATCATCGCTGCCAATGAGAAGACCCGGCAGGCCGAGGAGGCGCTTGGGAATGCGGCTGCTGACGCCCGGGATGCAAAGAAGAAGGCTGAAGATGCAGAGAAGATTGCAGGCAACGTACAGAAGGTCAATAGGGCCACCCTGCAGGTTGAAAAACGGTTTAATGCCCATCATCCCACTCACGGCCTCTTCACCTTTTGTCCTCATAGGGCTCAGCTAAGACCAAAGAGGAAGCAGAGAAGGCACTGCAGGACACTGAAAAGCTGGACAAAGACGTGAATGACATGATGGATCAGTTGAGCGCTGCAGAGGAGGAGCTGAAGAAGAAGAAGGCTGAAGCTGACAATGACATGATGATGGCGTCCATGGTACAAACTCATCCTTTGATCCATGAGGAAGTTCAGACTGTTTAAAAATACCGTTGTTGATAAGTTGGGGGACTGCTTTGTCCTGCAGGCGTCAGATAACGCCAAGGAGGCTGAGGACAACGCCCGTAAGGCCAAGAGTACGGTGAAGACAGTCCTGAAGATCATCACGGATCTGATGGACCAGCTTGGTATGCTCAGAACTCGTCTCCACTGGTCGCTATAGTCCTGCAATGTCGGCTGTGATTCACAGAGTTGTCTTTTTTTTTTTTTTGCAGGAAACATTGATAAAGTAGACCTTAGCAAACTGAACCAGATTAATGAGTCTCTGAACCGGGCCAAGGAAAAAATGGCCGGCAGCGAGCTGGACACCAAACTGAAGGAGCTGAATGACGTGGCGAGGACACAGAAGGAGATGATCGACGACTACGACCGGCAGATCCGGGAGATTCGCAGTGACATCGACAACCTAAATGACATCAAAAACACGTTACCCACAGGCTGCTTCAACGGGCAGCCACTGGAGCAAGCTTAGCCCCGCCCACCTCCTCCATCCACCCACCCTTTTCCCACCCACACTCACATCTAACACTCCGGCAAACTTGCCGCCTTTTACCAAAACAGTTCTTGTTCTCAGATTCTTGGCCAAGATTTCAGCCGCTCCCAGCAGAGAGGCAAATGCTGACGACAGCGGTGTTGTTACAATGAACTCCGTGTTGCAGAGACACCATGCACCATGAGGTGGATGAACCTCGGAGAGAAAACCAGAACCACAAACCCAACGGGACTGCAGCCTCACAGGAAGTCCGCTGGCACCTCACCATATTTTTTTTATCATCAACATTTCAGAACACGTGAAGGAATTCTCATATCCGCCTCCCGAAGCTACGCTCTCGACACGGAAAGCAGGGAAAACATTTCAAATCCTCTCCTCTGCAGTATTCACACCTCCAGCAGGTGGCAGCGTTTGGTATAGTTACTTAATCTCTGCTGTGCACAGAGCTGCCAAAGTCCCAGAGAGATTAAATCAGACTCAAACTGATTCTCATTTACAATTTTCCAGATTTTAACCTTGATGTGTGTAGAAGCTGTGAATGTATTGGGAGTAAGAAGAAGTGGATGTTTTCCATCACAGACAGAAGCTCAAATCCGCCCGAGAGTAAATTAAAATGTTTCAGATAGCGATCCAGTTTCCTAAACCATTTTTTATATTAATCCATAAACTTACTTGACTTATAATTAAACAAAGTAAGTTTTACCATCTGGACTTTTTGACGGTATTACAAAGTTTCTCACATTTTCCAAACCAGTTTCAATTGCTGATCGTTGTAAAGCTCAGCAAATAGTAAACTCAACTAACTAACTAGTATCAACTAACTATAGCATACTACTCCACGGTAGCTTTTTCATTAGCATACCTGTTGGGTTCAAAAATGTAGGTTTGTAAAAGAAGAACTGAAATACGCAGTAATGGATTTTCATACAGCTCCTGCAGGAGGAGAAACAGTTGAACCCCAGACTCAAACACACTGTCTCCCACCAGACCTCTTCTGCAGAGCGTTTTATTAACAGAACATGACACATGGTTACAAACAGAGTATTGTTCTGACAGGACAGTTGATCAGGTCATAAGACAGGATGCTCCACGACTGAATCACACGGCAGTGTGGTCTCTTGACTGAATCATGAGACAGAGTAAAGCATCTCATTTCTACAATGTTTCATATGAACACACATATTTTCATTTTATAATCATCATTAAATAAACCTAACAATACCTTCACATGGATAACTTGGTGTTGGTATGCTAACGCTCTTGTCACTACCCGATCTGTCCCGGAAGCACGATCTGTCCTATGCATGCGCCAACAGAATAACTTCCATGTAGGTAATACCTCATTTTTATTACTTTTTTATCTTTTGTCTTTTTCCGGTAGGAGGGTTCCCTTTGAATATTTTTCTATTTGCGTAAATATTGCATATTCTATAAACAAAAAAGATTAATACCTTTAAATATCCTTTGAAACGTTACTGTGACTGCTCTGAGCATGTCGGATGATGACGTCACGCAATACAATGGAGAGAATGTAAAGCGTATCCATTCCTTCCAGAAAAGTCTCACTGTTTTCTATACGATGTAGTTAAGCATTCTTTAATGTTTAAAGCATATAAATAAGCATTTTCAGTAGTGTTATAACGTAGTTTTCTGGCAATCCGGATCTTTTTATTTTTTTCGCCCATTAGCATCGTGTTTCCAGGACGGATCGGACAGTGACAACTCTTCACATCTTTTTCCTTAAAATATTTTAAATTTAACAATATGCTAAAATGTGCTGTTGTTTATCTAAGTTCTTGAGATTTCATAAATGCTAACAGCATTAGCATAATGTAGCTTTTTTTTTTAATCTTTATTCGCCTAACTTTTAACACTAATTATAGAAAAAGTTCTCTGGGTTTTAATTTACGTTGTTTTTATCGCTTGCATTACTTCCTGTTACCATGCTCAGTCAGGTGTAGCAGATCTGACTGACAGTTTCCAGCCCAAAAATCAGCCCACCTTAATAAAAAAAAACAACCGTGCTTCACCGTTCCTTACCATAAAAAGCATTAAACTAAAACTTGGAGTCGGATTTCTAATATACCTGCAATAAGCTTTGGATCATCCTCTGGGATCGGGACAATCCACCATTTTAGATCAGCCTTCTTTTCTGTATATATGTTCATAACTTTCTCACTACAGGCCATCACACCTCACTATAGCTTAGTCAAGAGTTTTAATTATTTAACAGGTTACACTGACCAGGATCATTTCATTCAGACTAATAATGAATCACTGATAATGTCAGGTTTGGCCGATTTGCAACATTTCAAAATGTAAACCTTATTTGAGTAAAAATTAACATTCGACTGATTTTCTTTTACACTTTTCTGCCACATAATGATGGATATAATTTTTTGTTTTTACTCTTATTTTCTAAAAACCCATCAAATCCTGTGAAAAGCAGCCTACATATTAAAAAACGTGCAGAAGGCCAGTTAGATATGCTCATTTTAGCAACACTGAATGTAATATTTGTGTAGGTGGTAGAGCGCACCAGTGTGCCGGATATTACAGAACAAAGGAATATGTGAATTTTTAAACTTTGTTCCTGCAGTCCAAGTCATGGTAAAGACATCTCAGCTTTGGAGCAGCTTGTTAGTTCGCTTGTTATTCTGCAAAAGTAAAAAAACAATCCACTGGTCTTTGTTTGAAGACATTTCGCTTTCCATCCAGGAAGCTTTTTCATTTCAAAATGTGAGAAATAGCGTTGAGTTCCAGGCTATATTTTCAGTTCAGAAGACATGCAAATAGAAACGGACGAACGGGTCCATCCCTTTGGAATGGGGGTCGTTTGGCTTCTTTTGTGAGCCTGCAATGCCCCATACCTGTCTATGTCTCTGAGCAAAACATGGGATGAATCAGGAGTTGAGGGAGTTCTGTCCGTGGTGGAAACCTTCCATTAGAGATGTTCTGAGGTATGAGTTGGAGAAGAACGTTTGCTGACCGGATGAAATGTTTTTCTCACGTGGGAATAAGATGCTTTCCCCCCTGTTGGACTGTCTGTGTTTAAACCCCCTTCAGATCCATGACGCCATGCCTTCGGGACTGAAGCAGCCTCTGCGGCTCATCTGTGCCATATTGTTTTGAAAAACACTGATCCCGCGCTGCCATGCCTCACGTCTGTCTCCACATCCAAACACTATGCAACTTTGTACATTCTGCGTAGCGAGAGTTTTATCTGATACACTGGTGCTAATAATTATTTCAAATGTTCTATTTTTGAGTGAATGTTTTTTATTATAATGATTTGGAGCGAGGAGTTTATTATTATGTGTGTAAATAAGTGATTGGCTGATTTTTATCCCGAGCAGCCTCATTACGTTTGATCACAATCAATCAACTGAAACCTCCAGGTGAAAATATATCCTCTATCTTAACGTCTGTGGTATGTTATTATTATAATTGTTATAATTATTATTATTATTATCTCTGCTTGCTTGTATACAGAGCTGAGAGCTGCTGCCTTACACCGTCGCTGTCTGTCTTGATTCTTTGTGGGTTTTCAGGAGTTAAAGTGAATATTTTTGAGCCCATCATCAGTCCGTGCGCCAGCGGGGGCTACGGCGCTCTCATGTGCTGGTTTTTATTTTCTGTTCATGCCTTAAAGGACAGCTGTTGCTTCTCCTGCAGAGTCTTTAGATTCCCAGGTCTGTCTGTCCTCCCTGCAGCCTGAGCAGCTCCATGCTCTGTTCTCAGTATTTTAAGTTATAAGGGCTGTTCGTGGCGAGATCCTGCTGTTGTTCTTCATGATGATGATGATGATGACGGAGCTGCCCAGTCTGCAGGATTCCTCTGTCATGTTTCCAGCTCTGATCACACCTGCCTGTAAACCCAAACCTAACATGTCAGTAATAAAAACAAACTACTACAGAAGTGGGCTGGTTTCTGAGGCGGGTTCTGGAAGGTTTCGGCGGGAAGGATGTTGCTCCGACGTCTTCGGCAGCATCATGAAGCGTGGAACGTGTGGGAGCCCGGATGAGCCTTGAAGGAACATCAGGAACCCATTTTCAGCTCTGGGCTCTTGCTTTGAGAACGAGAGTGCAGACGTAGCAGGAAGGTTCTGCTTAAAGGTCATCCCAGTTTAACCTACTGGTTCCACAGTAGTTCTTCTAAGGCAGCGGTGCTCATTGCAGAACTACTGTAACCTGGTGGGTTATTATCCAACCAGAGGGGGATTTACTAGTAAGCAATACTAGGCAGTAGACTTGGGCCCCAAGTTCCTGGGGCCCCCATAAAACTCTGTTTATATGTATGGTTAATACAACTTTTCCTTATTTGTGCACATTATGTTTTTGAGTAAAATCCTTTTGCTAAAATTCCATCAGAATGCTTATAATACTGTGACCCCCCTTCAGCGTCCACCATATTGGATCAGTCCATTTGCTAGCCACTTTTTAGACCCCTCTAGCACCAAATCTAGAGACTTTTTTCTGCTACTGGAGACTTTGGAGACAACATCTAAAAGCAGCGAACTCTGCTCTCCAGAGCGAGTAGATTGGTAACCCCGCCTCCTGCTCTCCTCTATCTTGTCTGCTGTCATGATTCATGCAGCTATTATTTCATCCAAATGAAAAATGGAGAACAGAGAAGCAGATCATGGCTTGTCTACAGTGAAAAGAAGGACTGGGTTATTTACTTTGGCCTTTTTGGAAACACAGGAAGGAGCAATCAGCTAAGTGAGCTTAGTGCTTGGAAAAAATCTTTCATTCCTTTAGAGACAGCATGAAAAGTCAGCTGAGTACAAAACATAGAGAGGAAAACAAGAAGAAAAGGGACAAGAAGAGAGGGACACAACCTAGAACAGATAATGGATGTCTATTCTATTAACATTTCTCTATCTGTATAATTGGTCTGTTTTATGTGTTGTGTTCTCCATTCATTGGGCCCCCTGCCTGTCTTTGCCTAGGGCCCCACATTTCCTAAATCTGCCCCTGTATCCAAGCACTAACCGGGCCTCGGTTTAACAAAACGCATGTTTACGTTTATGATTCCATCTGATGGATGTTATGGGGACGCTCATTGTTACTGGTTCCCAGTCCAACCATGCCTGACCTGAAGGTTCTGGTTCCCTGAAAGTTCTGGTTTCATATAGGTTCTGGTATCTAATGGTCCAAAGAAAACCTGAACCAAAGTCCAGAATGAGATTCAAGGCAGGAGAATAAAGTGAATAGATACTAGACCTATTTATACCATATCAGAACCTTTGGTCTGATGATTTTATTATTTGTTTTTTATTAAGTGGATTATAATCTGTAGTTTAATCCCAAATTATGTGGATCTGGATTAAAACTCAGAAATTCAACCCAATCTGATCCAAACTGAACCTTTGGCTTCAGCATCAGCAGCAGAGGCTTTAGAACCAGAACCAACTGAAAAACACAGAATCAAACATCTCTGAGCAGAACCGGTCCAGTTTAAATAGTTTGGGTCAGAAGCAGAGCTCCTCCTGATCTTCATCCAGTTCTCTGGTTTTTAGCGCCCCCTGCTGCTCAGACTGACAACTTCACCACCAGGATGTGGTTTGGAGTAAAACAGAACCATCCGTCTGAACAGCCAATATACTCAGAGTTCTGAGGAACTGCATACTATTGTTGGATCTATGGGTTCAACCTTCCAGTTCCTGCTTAGAACCGAATCAGAACTGCTGCTATACAGGATGAAACCACCAGGGGGAGGCAGAGAGCTGCTTGTTAAAAACACCTGAGAGATTCACTGGACCTCAGAGTTCAGAACCACAGGTAGAGACAACCTGCACCAACCTGCTGCCCTTCACTGCAGGAGATGGTGAATCCATCATGAGCGTGAAAATAAACCTGGAGAGGAGCAGGAGCACGAGAGGAACCATCCTAACAGCTGCACCACCCTGTCCTCTGAGAACCAACTGGTGAAAACTATAGAAACCATTCAAAGAATCAAAGGACCAGTTCATCCAGAAGCTCCCAGGACCAAGAGGTCATCAGCTGAGCAGAAACTGCTCCTCATGCTGCTTCTTCCTCACAGCGTGTTAGAGCAAAACAAAAAACCAGAACCATCCTGGTTCTGAGTTCTCGCTCTGAGAACCAAATGTTCTGACCGGCCAAGAAGAGACATCACAGAACCTCACAGATCCCCTCATTCTAAGCAGAACTTTCAGGTTAGTGAAGTTCCTGGATCTATAGGCTTCCATGGAAGGTGGGACTGTTGTTTATTACTCAAGAAGAAGCAGAAATCTCACTGTTTAAAAACACTTTTGCAGGAGTTAGAGGATCAACTTTAGATTTTTACTCATGTAAAAGTACCGTAAAAAAAAAAAAAAAAAAAAAAACCTGAAATTGTAATAAATTCTGTAGTTCTAAACAAGTTTTTAAGAGTTATAGCTGTATTTATTATTTTCACTGTAAAAGGTGGACAATTTTAATATCTGTCCAAGAAAAATCAAATAAATCTAAATAAGATTAAAAGTACTGCAGAAAAAAAAAATAATTGACAGAAGCTTTAAACCTCCTACTGGTTACTGCTCTACCCTATTAAAGGAACATTTTCTACAATTCTGCATGATGACTTCCTTAGTTTTATAACTTACAGTGTGAAATTTATCAGTTAATCACATTTTAAAACTATTTATTTTGGTTTCTGGTGAACAACAAGTTGGGGCAGCACCAAGTCCAACCACATAGAAATGAATTGTTTGGATATAATGATCTTGATGGTTTTTATTTGAAGAAAATTAACTTAAATGAAAACTAACAAGTCTATTTTTAAAATGTGAGGATTAGAAAATAAGAAGTTGTCTAAAAAATAATGACTAATAAAGTATATATAGCCAGTATTTGTACTTTGTCACTTATTGCCTCAGTTTATCTCTGGAAACATAGAAATAAAACATCCAGACTGTACAGGTTTCAGCCTTATTGATGATGATATAATTTAATCATGAATAAACCGGTAGTTCTGGTTATGGAGGTTCAGCAGGCAGCCTTCATCAGGAAGCATGGCCCCAGGTCCTGGATTTCTCCTCCTCTTCCTCCCGGATCCCCGTGCGCGCTCCCGCGCTGGGCTGGCACGTTGGTGCGCGTCCCCGCTCAGCCAGCGGCAGCGCTCAGATCTCCAAGCGGCACGAGACTCTCCGAGCTCCGCCTGAATCCCGGACTTCCAGCCGCTGTCCGCGCTCCTTCTGCCGGCCTGAGGGGGTCACCGGGTGGGGAGGAGAGGAGAGGACCCCGCCTCACTGTTTCTGGAGCTTTGCTGGAAGTTTGGACCGTTATTATCCTTTTTTTGATCCCTGGAAACATGAGGCTGAGCCGGGCGGACAGCCGGAGCGCCGCCGGCTGCTGGCGGAGCAGCTAGCGGCCTTCAGGGAGCAGCAGGGCGGCCGGAGCCTCCATGTGGGATCCCTCCGCTTCTTTCTTCCACTTTCACTCACTCTCCCCGGCTTAACTCGCTCCTCTGGAGGCACAGCAAGTTTTTCTCGGTGGGAAATGGAGCCGGACTCGGGACCAGGAGACTTGGACTCCTTCCAGGGCGGACAGAACCTCCTGTTGGACCGGATCCTGGGGGACTCCGTGTCCCAGCAGCAGGGATGGCTCCGGGTTTACGGTAAGAAACTCACCGGGCAGCAGCCGGACCTTACTGGACGGAGGTCCGACCCGGAACCAGGTCTCTAAAAGCACTGAAGAACCGGTGTGTCCCTCAGACTGACCGGTCAGTCCAGGTCCACTTCTAGATCCTGGACATGAGGGCCCAGTGAGGTCCAGAACCAGCTCCCCATGGCCCAGTGAGGTCCAGAACCAGTTCCTCATGGCCCAGTGAGCGGTTCTGAGGTACCGGGCTCCTCTGGCTGGTTCTGCTCAGAACTTTTCAGAACTTTCCTCTGCAGCTGATCCATCTGGATCATCTGTAGAACCTGGTTCTGAAGGGTTCTGGCAGAACCAACCAGTCTGAGGGTTCTAGAAAGATTCTGACCCGGTTTGATCTGGTTGCAGTCAATATCAGATGTTTTATGGCAGATCGTCGGTTTTCCTGCTGACCGAACGCTCCTGAACACACCACGAGGTGAGCAGTTCACGGACCGGCTGTGATGTTTCACCAGTGAGGAGGAACCGCAGAGGTCCAGTCTGCTCTCCTGAGGGTCCTGAGCTTCTGGACCAGCGGTTCTGGTTCCGGACGGAAGCGAGCTTTCTCTGGGGGAACATGTCTGGATCAGAACCTGGAATCGGAAACTGGATCCAGGTGTTCAGTTTCTGACTGGACCTGAATCAGCTCTGGGGATCAGGTCCAAAGCCTGGTTCTAGTTCTGGTCCCAGAAAATCTAGAAAAAAGTTCTAGACCTGGAAGGATTGGATGACCCAATGACTGTTTGATCAGAACTTTGTGTTTCCTGTTGGCAGAACCATTCAGATGTTCTGTTTAAAACTGTTCTGGTCAGGATCGATGTGCTCTGAAAGAGGCGGTCCAGTCAGAACCGCTGACCTCAGACTGGGTACCAGGTTCTGGAACCGTGACTCAGATTTCCATTCTGTGGGTTTCAGGCAGCTGACCCGCAGTTTGTGTGACAGAGAGGTGAGTCAGCACCAGGCTGCAGAACTCTGGGCCCATGTGGCGGTCTGATGTATTCATGACCGTAGGAAACACGACCATCCAGCATCTGACTCACCTAGCTCTGTCCAGCTACATGTTGAATATTTGGGCTGGATTATCAGCTGACTCCTTAATCACTAGACTGGTGCCACTGGCCTTTTCTCCTATGTTTCCTGAATGCATCAGTGGTCAGTTCGCAACAGCAGCATTTCCTACCATGTTTCCTGATTGCATCACTGGTCAATTTACAGTAGTAGTGTTTTGTCCTATGTTTCCTGAACGCATCACTGGTCAATTTGCAGCAGTAGTGTTTTGTCCTATGTTTCGTGAACGCAACACTGGTCAATTTGCAGCAGTAGTGTTTTGTCCTATGTTTCCTGAATGTATCAGTGGTCAGTTTTCGGCGGCAGCATTTTCTCCTATGTTTCCTGAATGCATCAGTGGTCAGTTTTCGGCGGCAGCATTTTCTCCTATGTTTCCTGAATGCATCAGTGGTCAATTTGCAGCAGTAGTGTTTTGTCCTATGTTTCCTGAATGCATCAGTGGTCAATTTGCAGCAGTAGTGTTTTGTCCTATGTTTCCTGAATGCATCAGTGGTCAATTTGCAGCAGTAGTGTTTTGTCCTATGTTTCCTGAATGCATCAGTGGTCAGTTTTCGGCAGCAGCGTTTCCTCCCATGGGTCCTGAAGGCATCACCAGTACCTGTCCAGGTGGGTCCTCCCAGCCCTCGGATCTCCCCCGGCTGGGTTCTGGTACCGGTACCTCTCAGGGCTGAAGAACCTGGGACTGGCCTGCTGCCTTCAGGGTCCACCTCTAGGAGCAGAGCTGTGGGATAGTTCCAGGTTTTGGTACCAGATCCTACATGTTTCTAACTAATGAAACCTCCAGAACCAAACGGTTCCAGGTCCATTCTCTGTTCCCTGGAGTTCCTGCTCCATCTGAGGTTCCTGCTGGAAAGTTCTGCTCTTTTTTCTCTGAATAAACCGTGTTTTTCTGGATTTTTTGGGCCAGTTTTTGTTTTAGCTTCTGTCTGATTCTCCCAGTTCTAAAGTGTCTGGGTCGGACTGGGAGACGGACCAGAACCCTGCGGTTCTGTATGTTCTGATCATTGAGATTTTCCAGGTTCTGAGTCCAGGGTCAGATTTGGACTCAGAGACCCTGTTTGTCCTGTTGGGCCGCTGGTTCTACAGGACAATGCAGCGGATCAGGAAGGAAGCGGGAAGTTCCTCAGGATGGGGCTGGGGGGGGTTAGGATGTTAGCTGGGAGACAAACGGCGCCGACCCGGTTCTATTTCTGGACTGAGTGGAAAAACACAAGCAAACCACTGAGATCCTGCAGGACAGAACCTCTGCGGCTGTTTCCTGGGGTCCAGGTGGGCGGTACCGTGGTGCTTTCAGGGTTCAGTTGGTCTATCAGAACCTGCTGTTTGCTTTTAATGGTCACGTTCTAGATCTACCAACCGGTTCCTGTGGTTCCCCTTCCCCTGTAAGCGGGCCGGGTTCAGTCTAAAGATGGGGTTCCTACTGGACCAAGATTACCGGTCTTCATCAGGTATCCCTGCAGAACTTCACTGACCAGAACCAGATATGTTCCTCTGGGTTTAAAGGGGCACAGTGAGTTCTGGTAGAACCAGAACCAGACCTCAGAAGCTTCCGTTTGGTCCTTCTTCCTCCCAGGAAGGGGTTAACAGGAAGTAATCTGATTACTTTGGGGACAGAGCCTGCAGAGGGAACTGGACCTGCTGGTTCCTCTTCAGGTTCTGTTCTCAGACTTCCTCCTTTCAGCATCGGAGCGGTGAGTCTGTCTCAGTCTGGGTTTGGGTCGTGGTTCTGTCTGGAGCTGCGATGGGTTCTGTTCAGGGGTCCGGTTGAGAGTCCGTCAGGAGTTCTGGCTCCTGAGGCCCGGTTCTGCTCTCAGAGGGCGGCTATCTTTAGCTTCCAGCAGGAAGTGGATGAAGTGGAGGAGGTGACGCCTGATGGAGGAGCTCGCTCCTCGGGTCATCACAGCAGGCCGAGCGAGAGACGCTCATCTTATCCATGACATCATCACCAAAACAGGAAGTGACTGTAAGGTGAGGCGGCTGCTTAAAAAAGAACATGACTTATCCAGAGGCTGCAGGGATCAGAACCAGAACCACTGAGCTTCCAGAACCTGGGAGGATTTAAGGCTCAGAACGCGACGAGAATCTAACCTCAGATTATCTGAAGAAATTAAACGTCTTCATGTGGTTCAAAGTTAGCTGCCAACATCTGACAACAACCTATAGTTGTTTAAAATCACATCTCTTTCTAGAACTTACCAGATATTCTCCACTTGAAGTGAGCTGCATCTCAAAATGCAGGAAATGGCGTTTCAGAGAAACTAAGTTTCCAAACTTTCCGGGGAGGAATTATTGGTTGTCTTTGCCAAATTGTCTGGAAAGTTCCCAGAACTTACACACAATGTACAGGTGTTTCAGGGTTCTTTCAGGGTTCTGCGTATATAAGGAGGCGTCACTGTGTGCTTTCTAGAACAGAGGTCACAGGTTAGCCGACCGCGCTCCGGATCCGGACCCACCTGCTGGATAATCCGGACACCACCTGATTTAAAACATTTATAAATTACCGCATGTTGTCCGATGGAAGTGTCTAACCAGCATCTAACCCCAAAATCCCAAATATTTTGGTTTTGTTGTGGATTTTAGTAACTGGGATCATCCATGGTTTGGATGAACTGTTTGTTCTCTGCTTCTAAACTCAGCATCTCTTCATCCAGACCTGAGATCTGAAGCTTCTATTGAAGTTGTGAGCGGAGCTCTGGGGCGTTCTGAATGGATTTGATGAAACTTTTAAGCCTCTCAGTATAAAATAAATATGTTGATTGAGATGAGAAATTTACTTCCTGGTATGATGAAGCACCAATAGTTTGCATCCAATTATTTAAACAAATAGTTTAGTTTTGGGGAATATTTAGACTGACAAATGAGCCTGGGATGGCTGGAGAATGGCTTAGTCTCCATTTTAAACCCAGGTTTAAACCTTTTTAGGGCAGCATGAAGCCCACTGCCATCATTAAGACAGAAACAACAAAGAAAACAACAAACGGTCAGTTGAGGTTGATGAATCTATATACTAAACTGTACGATTGTTTTTCTCTACTTCAAAAATACACTTTAGAATTTAAATTCGAAAAATTTCCTATTTTTTTGTTTGTTTTTTTTATTTAAAAATGAAATGTATACCATGGATGCATAAAAACCTAATTTATTTCAGTGGTTTTTTTTTCTTTCAGTGTTGTTATTTTCTTTATTCTGACCTCGCTGGTTTTTATTGGTGATCCCTGGTCTAGAACCTTTTTCACCAATGCACAGGTTTGTTTTACCTTCTAGAACTTTTATTTATTTATCCAAGTTTTTACGGCGCAGCTGACAGGAAAGACTGGGAAAGAAAAAGCTGTAAAAACTGAATAAACAAACAGTTTTTAATCTGGAGGGGAAATCTGAGCAGGAATCAGAGTTTCCAGGTTTCAGGACGGAGAATCTCTGGTTTCCTGTTTTGGTTGAAGACGAGTCTGAAGGAACCAATGATGGAGTCAGTGGGTTCTGGGTCCACCCCTGGTCCAGGTCTCAGCCTGGTGCTTTGGACCCGGACCCGATGCTTTATTCGGGCCGGGGCGTTCTGTTTCTGGGCTGGTGGCCAGGAAATGAATGAGATTCCAGTTGTAGGTCAGACCGGGGCTGCTGTGCGTATCTGCATGTTGATGTAACCAGAACAGCTCAGGCCGGGGGGGTGGGGGGGGGATGTTTACAGAGCTGATTGGAGCGGATCAATCAGAACAGGAACCAGAACCTGTTTGACCAACAGGATTTATGATTCCAGCAGCGGAGGAACTCTCTGCAGTTCCCATGAAGTTTGTGTCTGTTCTGTGTTTGCAGTAAAAACAGAAGTTCAGATGCTGCTGGCGGGGGGGGGGGGTCTGTCGGACTCGGTGGTATTTTTACTCTGTTTCCAGGAATTGACGACTCCTCCCCCTCAGATTC